GGTTTAGGGTTCCCTTAAAGGGTACTATAAGGGTTCCTTTAAAGGGATCTATAAGGGCTTAGGGTTTAGGGTTTAGGTCTTAAGGTTTGGGGTGCAACCCCAAAGGTCCAGAGGACCCAATAATCAGGTACTTAGGTTCCGGATAGCAGTTAGGTTGCTATTTGGGAGAGCAACAAAAATTATTAGGTGCTTGGACCCTTACGGTAATGGCTACGGAAGCTCTAGATCTGGGGTATTCTCTAGTTTAGAGCTCAGATTTGCGGATTCAGGGTTCTGCGGGTGACGGCTTTCGTGTGAGAGTTCAGGGTGTAAAGCTCCTGGCAGCCACAAGATATAGTCCGCCCTAAACCCAAACCCTAAACTAAACCCGAAAACCGAAGCCCTAAACCCTAAAACCCTAAACCCCTACACCCCTAAAAGACTATTTTTGGGGCTCTGAAGGGTTTCGGGTTTTGGGTTTGGGATTCAGGGTTCCGGGTTTAGGGTTTTAGGGTTTTGGGTGTAGGGGCTTTTGGGTTTCGGGTTTAGGGTTTAGGGGTTTAGGGCTTTAGGTTTTATGGGGTTATGGAGTTATGGGGTTTAGGGCTTATGGGGTTTAGGGTTTAGGGGTTTAGGTTTTATGGGGTTATGGAGTTTAGGGCTTATGGGGTTATGGGTTTAGGGTTTAGGGTTTAGGAGTTTAGGGTTTAGTTTCGGCTTTAGGCCCTAGGGGTAGAAGACCACATAAACACAACAACTCGCAACGACAGCTTTCTGGCACGGCTCCTGAGCTCCAGTATGTTGTAGGGGCGGGCGGGGGGGAGGGGGTTCAAGGCGAAGGGTCTATGTTAGGGTTTAGGGTTGAGGGTTATGACCGAGGGCACTGAGACCCCTGACTTGAAAGTCCAAGGTAGTTATGCTTTCAAGCGCATCAAACCCTGTAGACTCTAGACCCTACACCCGGCTGGCGAAAAGAAGGGACAAAGGCCGTACTTGCGGGAGCTACCACGGACCCTAAGTATGGATCACCCAAGTGTTCGGAAAACCGCAACCTTAAATCTTGAACACAATATACACCAGAGCCTCCAATCTTTAGAACCACACTCAGCCAAAACCCTCTAATCAACCCCTAGCACCCCCCAAACCTCGAACCCCTTTCAACCTCCTCAAGCCGCTCGACCCGCGCAGAGTCCTGAAGAAAACCCGCATAAAGAAATGTTCAGGAACCCCAACAAACAACCTTCTACCGATCCCTCATACAGCCTTCTACAGAGCCCCCCAGGCAAAAACTTTGGCGATCCTTCCACAAGCCTACACCCTAAACCCGAAGCCTAACCCCCAAACCCTAAATCCCTCTACTCTAGCCCCAAACCCCTTGAAACTGATTCACAAAGTTGAGGCTTTAGGAGGCACAGACGCCGGCGGCCTTAATTTCGGCCGCCATGCGCTTGCGCTTTGCGGCATCTGAGGCCTCCCGTTCTTGGGAAGCCTCGGCCTGATCGAAGCTTAGACAATGTCGGGCCGTTATAATTTAATGTTTGGGTTGTAGTATATACCCACCCTGAGGTTGTTTTGTTGAGTGTCTCTTGGGGTGGTCGCTTTTTTTGGGGCGGCATTAATATACGTCTGGCCGGGTCTGAAGTCTGTAGCAATAGTAGATATACCTGTAATAATAGTCTTCGCCGTAGTAATAGTAGTAGTAATAGTAATAGGAATAGGCATGGTAATAGTAATCGTAATAGTAATAGTAATAGTAATAGGAATAGGAATAGTAGTAGGAACAATAATAGTACTAGTACTAGTACTAGTAAATAGTACATAATAGTAAATAATAGTAAATAGTAAATAGTAGAAAATAGTAGTAAATAGTAGTAAATAGTAAATAGTAGTAAATAGTAGTAAATAGTAGTAAATAGTAGTAAATAGTAGTAAGTGAATGGTACATAGTACATAGTACATAGTAAATAACAAAAAGTAGTAGTAATAGTAATAGCAATAGTAATTAGCAATAGAAATAATAGTAGTATTTGTAATTAGTCGAAAACCTCCTGGGATTCGCAGCGCTCTGGCTTTCTGCTTGAGCCCCCCCTTCCGGCTCCTTCTGTCGTTACTGGACTGAAGTAATCAGTAAGCAGTGGTTATCTGGTTGCCTCTGGTGTCCCAGCGAAGCCAGACTGGTCTACTTTGCCGGGAGCAAAACTCGTGGCGGATCTGGTGGAGTGGAGCTACCGCAAGACTCCCGCGGACGACCGGGCTCTGGCCGTGCATCGGGTCTGGTGTCCTCACGATCTCCATGGACCTGCGGTCAACAAGGCTGCTTCTGCCTCGTCCGACTCTGTGTCTGCCAAGGCTTCTGAGATGTCCCAGGCAAAACAAAAGGCCTTCTGCACGGTCCACAGCTGTGGCAAGTCTGGCGAGCGCTCATGCACAACCTTCTGAACAACACCGTCAGTCTGCAAGGTGTTGGTGATGCCTGTGCCACGCTCCTGTTGCCTGACACGGAGGTTTGCGAAGTGAACCCTCTCCGGAAACTCCGAAGAAGTGGAAGCCTCTGAGGCTCAAGCGAGAGCTGAAGCAGACGACCTTGCGATCCTGCGGAGGATCCAGCCTGTTTCTGGAGTCTGCCTCTTCAGCCGGCTTCTTCGCTCCTGAAGCCGTGGAGATTCTGAAGTTCAAGAAAGGCTACCCGGAGATGCTTCTGGACCAGCATCTGAGGTACAGCTCGGAGCTTCTCCGCCACAACCTGACAGCGGCTCGGACGAAAACTGATTTCTCGACGAGAAGATCTGCATGGTGGACCCGAAGCTGTCTGGGCACCTGCTGGCAGAAGACCACCCGAAGCCGGAGCTTCTGAAGACAGCCCCGGACCGACTTCTGAGCGAGAGCAGGCAAGCTGCTGTTCCTGCCGGTCTGGGGGCACTCGCCGCAGCACTGGACTCTTCTGGTCCTGCAGCGACGGGACGTCTTTTGAGAGCTTCTCTGTGAAGTGTCCGGACAGCTTGTCTGAGAAGCACGAGGAGTGCTCAGTGAACGCGACCAAGTTTCTGTCCATCCTTCTGCCGAGCGAAAGAATGTGGGTTCTTTGTCCTGGCCCACATGCTGTGCATCTTCTCTGGCTCTGGCGCAGGAGAAGCTGAAGAAAGAGCTGGCCAGCAAGGAGAAGGATCTGGAAAAGACTCCAAAGGCCAAGCGCATTCGCACGGAACAAATGGCCGCGAAGGCTCCAAAGAGGGGGAAACTCTGGGAAAGGTGGTGAAACTGGCCCAGGACCTGATGTCTCTTTAAGGAGCCAAACGCCTCTGATTTGTCTGAGGAGCTCGCATCGAGCATGTCCGTCTGACTGGCCCCGGCGTATGCTCAAGGTGCCACTGGCAGTCAGGCTGCCAGGATTGTGATCCCGCCAAGCTGCAACGATTTCTGCTGAACAAGGTGTGTCTGAATCTAGGTTTGCTGCCGAAGGCAGTCTGACGGGCACGCCTCCCGGCTGCTGTTTCTGCGCTTTTGCTGCTTCTCTGGAATGCTTTGCCACATCTGAAGCACTCCACTCAGGTCCTTTCTAGACGATCGTGCCTGGGCCTATCTGGTGTCTGCTTCTGGCCAATTATAGCCCATGATTGAACTACTGCTTCAGGTATCTCTGACGCCACCTTTCGGCTGATTCAAAGCTCTCTGAATGTCTGGAGAGCAGCCGTAAGGCTTTCTTGTTTCACAGCACTCTGGAACCCTGGGAGGCAGCGGCAAGATGGTCTTTTGCAGGTCTGCTTTCTAGGACTGAATGCAGCCGTTCTCCCTGCTTGGAGCTTCTGCGACGTCGGATCTGCTCTGCTTGACGAAGGGTGGAGTGAAAAGTCTCTGGAACTGCACTCTGCGAGCGGCTAGTTCCCAGTGAGATGTCTGAGGAACTGCATTCTGCCAGCTGGTTAAGGGTCTAGGCTTTTCTTTCCTTTTCTCCAAAATAATTAGCTTTTCCACAAACCCCTAGATAAAGTAGTCACCGCCTGGAACGCCTGGGCCAGGGAATAGTTCAGTTGTCACCCTGTTGTTCGTGGCACTCCAACATTAACTAGAATAAGGTGTTGGGGTATGCAGCAATCAGACAGGGCCCCAAGTATTTAGTGCCCCTACGTTAGGTTAGAGGTTAGGCTTTTGGGTTTAGGGGTTTGGGTTTAGGGTTCAAGGGATTGTGATTTATGCGGGGTTTTGGAGGGAATTCATGAGGGATAGGGTGTTATGCGGGATTTGGGGAAGATTTTGAACGGGTTCTGCATAGTCTACATATTCTTTAGGTCTTTAAGGGTTGCACAAGGCTCGTATAGGGATTTCTAGCGCTCTATGGCGGGCTTGCAAAGGTGGAAGGTTTTGCAGAGTCTAGGGTCTAGGGTTGTAGGGTTGAGAGCTGGAGGTTCTAGGCTTTGAAAGGATCGACAGGGTTCGGGGATAGTCGTCTAAGACGGGCCGGTCCGGTTGCTCATTGAGCCTTGGCCGCATTCTCGGCTGTCAGGCGTTCCAGTGCCTCGCATACGTCAGGTACCAGTCAGTTCGCCTCTTCACCTCAGAAACCCTATAAACCCTAAACCCTAACTCAACCTTACCACCAAACCCTTTGAGTCGGACAAGAAGGAACCTTAAGCTACCTTTGAGCTTGAATGCCCGAGGGTTGGTTCGAACTCAGAAATGAGAACCGAACTCAAACAGCAAAAGCAAGCAACATATGGAATAATGAACATTGAGCTTTAGGTGCTTCATTTGATCGTCCACGGCCTGAGATAAAAGGAAACGCTTGCCACTCAGTCCGACCTCTTCTCACCCAAAGACACACAATCCCCTTCAGATGTCCTGTTGAAGCATCACACCATACCCAAACTGATCAGGGTTTGGAGAGCGCATTGCACTACTATGCTGCTATACTTGCATCGTGGCGATAACAGGCCATGATTCAATTCAAACCCCGCCCAAAAATAGAACAACAACAATAGCACAGATTGGTTTCAGTATGAGTGTCAAGCGCGGAATCCGGGCAGAGGGCCGCTTTTTGCCCTTGCGCCAGGCTCAATTGCCGTACAAAGGTCATCTGCTGCAGGGGGAAGGCGGCTCTGCTACTGAAGGGAACACCACAGCACCGACCGGAGACACCCCAAGCAGGCTTGGCTGCTACTGCACCATCTAACCAGCAACGTTGCGGCCATTCCAGAAAAGCACCCGAACGCCAAGCCCTGTAAGTGCAACTGTTCCTTTTTCCCGAGCAAGGTTTTCGGTCCAGGAAGGCTCATGCGAAAAAATTAACTGCTACAGTAGATTCACGTAATTACTCGAAGTTGGTAGCTATTCTGAGCAGGTTTGTATAACATCGTGCGACGAGGATAGGGCCAGTGTTTGGACTCATGGCGCTGGGGATTTTGCAAGACCCAGTTTACTCTGAGGAGACTGCATGCCGAATGGGACCCTAAAGTTCCCGAAAGAATACGATCCGGATATCGCGGGCTTCGGTCACAGTAATTACTGCATGCAAGTACTCCGAAAACGAACCGGTCCAACATGCTGTCGTATCTCCATCCTTCCAAGTCGAATAGAAAAGGATGCAGCCTCTTCTGCCTTTCAGTAGTCACACGGCTATCGCCAGACGCGGATTACTTGGCAGGAACCCGCAGGGGTCCGGGATCCGAAATACCTCGATGCCAGCACACTATATGGGTACTTAGAAAGGTACTCTACAATCAATCTAAGAAAGAGGTGTGCTGCACAGTGGCACTCCAGAAATCCTGAACACGTGGGCATCTCTCACCTCACGCGACCGCGTAGCCAAGGATCTGAGTAGTGCATGGCCAATCGCCATGGCACAGGTAATGCTTCCTCAGCTACATGAGGGCTTGAACTACCTACTCCGGAAAGACCTTTTTGGGGGCTTAGGATGAAGGTTTATAGGGCATAAGCCGCAGAAGCTGTAACATCAACCGTGGAAACAACAGGTAGGAACGCAGACAAGAGCAATGATAACATCGGTGCAGCCGTGACGAAGCAATGCCCGTTGTACGGCAATAGCTGTGGTGGCCGTCGTCGTCCTGGCCGTCTGCAGTAGGAGCAGCAGCAGCGGTAGTGGTAGTAGTACTATCAGTTGTAGTAGTCGTCGTCGTAGCAGTAGTAGTAGCAGCAGCAGCAATAGCAGTCGTAGTCGTCGTCGTAGTGGCAGTAGCAATCGGAGCAGGAGGAGGACGGGAGGAGGAGGAGGAGGAGGAGGAGCATAGGAGGAGGAGCAACGGCAGCAGCAGGAGCAGGTGGTAGCAGGATTGAGCATGATCATGAGCAAGAGCGAGCTGGAGCTGGAGCTGGAGGAGGAGTGGTAATAAAGAAGTTGTTGTGGTTGTTGTTGTATCAATAGTAGTGACGGGGTTTGAGTTCGCTAGTCAGTCAGCCGGTCGATCAGCTTGTGAGTTGTACAGTTAGCTTGTTAGGTGCCCCAGCAAAACTGCTACTAGTAGTAGTAGTAGTCGTCGTCGTCGTCGTCGTCCTCAGTCGCAACAGTGGCAGCAGCAAAGTGCTTCAACCCTCATACCACTAGACTGCAAGAGGGGACACAATTGCTGGACTTACGGCTCGAGTTTGGGCAGTTGGAATGTGCTGAAGTGCTGCTTGTCTTTTGCAGCATTCTCATTCTGACGTCTCGTAATGGCTTAGTACGACCGGGCTGGATAGCTCAAGCTGGTCAATCTGAGTGGCAGTACAGGAACAGCCGTGAAGAGCTGCTCGGAGTGGGCACGAAGGATTGAACGATCCTGCTGCCTTGCAATGCGGATATGCTGCAAATGAAGTTGGGTCAGCTTGGAGACTGTATGAACGTGTGACAATGTCTCTATGTCACAAGAGGCCTGTCTTCAGATGCTGTTTTGGAACTCTCTTGCTGTGATGGTCCCGCTGCGCCCCGGGCCCTTCGGTACCGCTTCGATAGGCGTGAGGTGTGCTATCTTGAAACCTCTAAACCCTAGCCTCCAAAACCCTGGTCCACAAACACTCGAAGCTCCCAGCGGCCTATGCCCACAGAAAAGAAAAAAGGTAGTAGTAGAAAAGTGTTACAACTTAGTTGCTGCCCCCAAAAAAGTGTACACTTTCAGTTCTATAACGGATCATCTTATCCAAAAAAATTTAAAGTGTACTCACTCAGCTACTAAGACAAGGCCAGCTCTTGGCCAGCCAGTTCGTTGACCTTACGGTTTAGGGTTTAGGGCTTTAGGGTTTTAGGGTTTAGGGAATCAGGCAGAGGCTGCCCCTAGACTTCAAGGTACTTCCCTGTCTGGCTAGGACCGCACACCATGAAAACGGTTACAGCACTAGAATACATTGGAGAGACCCATACCCTAAACCGGAAGCCCTAAACCCCTTACCCTAACCCATAAATAGGAGAGAGTTTTGCGGAGACCATGCCAAGGCCAGGAGATGATGTTCCAAAACCCGACCCTCTCTTACATGACCCAGCAGTATGTATGTATGTATGTATGCATGCATGCATGTATGTATGTATGTATGTACATATATATATATATGCTAGCCCC